TTCTCTTCTGCCACCTACGGACCTTTGAATACACTTCGAGCCTCTCCCGAGGTATGCCGCGCGATAACGTCACCATTTAGGGTGCGCATCGAAAACAGTAAGGGCCGGAGGAGGTCGGGGAGAGAAACAATTGTCCTCGTGAAAGGATGGGACGGGAGCTTAAGGGTGAGCAGGTCCTGAAAAAAGAAAAAAAAAAAGAAAGCCGTCTGAATTATTTAGCAATTTCGTTTCATTTTCAGCACCCTCGAGGGGATATAGGGGTGATGGTGGGTGATGGTGGGTGATGGTGGGAAGAGAGCTTTCGGCTCTCAGGATAGACGTAGAGATATATAGGTATATTATTTAGAGAGCAGGAGTCGCGGTGAGTGAGAGAATAAACGTAGCGAGGGGCGCGGTGACGGGGTGAAAAGGAAAGGCGAGAGGAGTTAGTTTAAAGCGATTATAGGGGTACACGATAAAGTAATAATAAAAGTCTATTTGCACTGCTTCCAAGCGGCTGCAAGCGCGACCCCGGATCGTTAATTAAGATCATCCCTCCGTTCTTATTTACTTGACGCTCAGTTATCGTCACGCGTGATATAATGTAAAAATGAAATTATTTGTTACGTGCTAGTTATCGAATTTACGGATGAGTCTGGCGACAAATGAAGATCTCTTATCAGTGCCTACGGAATACAGTATAGAATTTGGAAAAGCTTGACCGTGAGATGAGATACCAAGTGGATGCTTGCTGATGCCGAAGGGTGGTTATGGGTCCAGAGCGTTCTTCCTTGGGATATTATCCCGTGGGAGGGAGCCATCTTTTACGAGACTGGAATACCAATGACGTTCAGCCAAACGGATAAAAATGTATCGAAGATACTCTCTCGCCAACAAACGCATGTACCGCAATGTATATACTTTACGAGATACACCATTTTTCCGTGCTTGGCGCATAGGTGCCCCTTACGATTGGAGTACATCATATAAAGATTGATCTTCGAAACCAGTCTCTCTGGCGTATCAAAATTTAAAAGCCAATGAAAGCGTTCTAATAAAAGGGACATCGGTCCTGGTCCAGATTAAAATCAATATTATTTAAAACGACAAAATACAAGAATCTCTCATATCTCTGATGAATATCAAAGTACTTTAATTGATTTGATCAGACTCAGCGAAGACTCTGATTAACCTAATCCTAGACTCAGGTCGATATTAAATATACGCTCCTCGAAATTTCCGTATCCAAATCCAGATAGTCGCCTGACGTGGGATAACCCACAGACACGGCTGCACCTTATCTAGTATTCTTGCGATTGGCACAGGATGGCAATCTCGGTTTGATCACAGAAACTTCTGCTCGTCGACCTGGCACTAACCGAAGCCCTCAGGAAACCCTGGGATAGAGTCGCCATCCAACTGAAGTTCAGTAGTTGGCAAGTAGATACGTCGGGATCGGTGGACGAAACGGTTCGATCGAATAATTCGAATATCGATCGAAAGGGTCAGTTCTGGTTTTCACCTTGTCTCAAGTTGCTGCTTTGTTCCCGATTTAATCATGGAAATTACATTGCTCGATCGATCAAAGGTAGTCCTTGAGTTCAGGTACGTAAGTATCTCAATAGTACCCCATATCTATACAACGTAGAAATGCCTTTCTCGTATCTACGTCCCAATGCACGTGGTTGGACACTTGACCGTCTAATTTCATTCATAGTTTGAGAAACTTATAGAGAGTTCTCTGAAATTGAAATTCTATTCGAAGATATCTTGGGCATTACGTCATTGAGACTTTTGGAAATTAGTCGATGATGACTTGGCCATCATGAAGTTCTGAAAATTCCTACTCAAAATCCTGATGCGCGTTTTACCACGAGTAACAAAGCCGTTGGTTTGGGTAGGTAGACAGATACTACTATCAATAGTAGATAGCAATGTATGTATGTGTCTATACATATAAAACCTACCTATCGCAGCCACGTGTTAGGGATTTGGAACTTCATCCCTGCCGATATTGCCGGATCCAATAGAAACAAATATATCGATGGGAATGGTCCAGTGCCACGAACGACAGAATCGTAATTCACCGATTCAGCGATATTTCCCCTCTCATGGGCATTCCGGACGGTCGAGCGGGTTCTGCGGATAGAACCTCCTCCAGTCTTAGCGATATCGTGGGATTCCCCGTATGGCGTCTACAGGAAGAGTTACTCCTGGATGACACGTACCGATACGAACAAAGAATTTATGAAGGCCGCTCTTTGATATCTCTCTGTCGACATGACCCAGACCAAGTCCCATTCCTCCCTCTCATCAATGTCAAAGCTACGATCAGTCCCCTGCCGGCTAGAGAAATTCGAATAACCAGATCGCATGTAGATGTCGGAAAAGCACGGAGAACTTCGAGAGTACAATGGTCATGTGTCTCTGTAAAAGAAAAAAAAATTCTAGAAAGACAGAAAGCAGCTACCCTCTATAGAGGGTTGTGAATGGTGACTCAGAGGCTTGTCCGAATAGATTTCCCCGTGGAGTCTAATCACGCATTGGGTAGGAATTAGCCCGCACTGGCCCCAGGGTCAACCAGCATACGCTACTGGTGCTGCTCGTACAGTCGAGTAACAATGATATGTCTCTCTATGTTCGACACGAATGCACGTGTGTATTCCGGCTGGTCCCTGCTGGACCATCCGCGAAACCACGAAGCTCCAGGATGTCGCGAAACTCTGTATATCTGGGGATCCTGCGAAAGAGGTCGAACAGAGGGGAAGAGGAGAATGGATCGAGAGTAGGTAGAAAGGTGGGAGGAAAAAAAATGTTTCATTCTACTTTTTGTTATTCCTATGGGAATGGCAATCAGATACGAAGCATTTGGCATGGTTTAGACAACTTTGGAAATCTATGAGCCTTATATATATATATCCTTCTTGTCGGTATGGAAATGGTAAAAGCAATGCGTAATTCTCAACGCAACCGACAGCGTTTCACGCATGGATTGTTGCGTGAGCATAATCGGGAGTCCAATTAGTGATAATTACGAGGTGAATTGGGAATTTCTAATAGCGGACGGCGCTGCAGGCAGCCATCAAAGCGCCCAGTTTGAATTTGCCACGATTTTTGCAGACGATGTAATTCGAAAGGGGATTGAATCGACTTCCGTTTAACGATGCTCCACCTCGGCGCCTTCTCAATGCTTACCCATTTACCGTTTAACATTCTCTATACACAGCCGTGCCATACCCGTATATTATTCCGTTCGTTTCTAGTGAGCCATATCCCTCCTTCTCTCTTGCTCTCATTCACGATTGCTTAATTGCTTTATTTGCGATCTCCCACATTTTTCATTATACGCTATATAATTTTTCCCTTTTTTTCCCCTCCCAACGCCCCCCCAAGGATTACCCAAAAACTCCATAGCAAATCTGTACACGTCCGCAGCCTAACACGCCTGACTAACCCTCTAACTAACCTCCAAATAAATCAGAGCTTCCCAATCCCGGGACCTCCTGGTTTTCCCAACCTCCAAAAGTACGGGCAACCTCTCGCCTGCTCGCACATCAGTCTCTCCCGATTCGTCAATGCTCGAACCAGTGCCGTGCCGTGATTCATCAATCCGATGGCGGCTAGTCAATAAATCGAATGACTCTCATGTAATATTCGTAACAAGCCACGTCGACGAAGCCCTTCAAAATTTCTTCGTTATAGAGCTTCGGGACATTTTTTATGCACAAATAGAGAATATTTTATCTACTTATTCATTATGCATACGTGAAACACGTATTGATTTTCCGGGATATTTCTGCGAAGTTAAATCATTTTTCTAATTGCGTAATACGCAGTCTAGGCTCAATCGGAGACTGGGGTAATGTTCGTTCTTTGCTCCCATATCCGTGTTCAAGGGTCGAAGGTCTGCGTAGCGGGTGTTGGCAACTCGACGAATGGGGTCATTTGTAGACACGAGTATTATAGCCGGTGTCAGGGCTACCAACTGAGAATTTGCTCGGGGTGTGATTTAACGATTTAAAGGTCTGTCAGACGATGACGTTCTCAAGATTAGTTACGCGAAGCTATACGATTTCCCGACGTAGCTTTCAATTTACGTACAAGGGTGGTAGCTACCACCCATCCTCGGAGACTTTGTATCGTGATACCGAGAGGGCGGGGGTGTAAATCGGACTAGGCCAAAAATGCATTTCCGGAAGTCCCACGCACGGCTCGTCCAGAGTCACAGTGCAAAGTATTTAGGTCAGAATTTTTCTCTAATGGTTTCTTCTATTTCTTTCTTTCTCTTCTTTCGCGGCAGCAATTTGCTGAGACTATTCCCGTAATGCGAGTTCCGCCAAGAATTCCAAAGTTTCCCGGAACGTATGGTCTATCGTGCTCCGCAGGAGGCGAACGCTGCGAGCTAGTATTTCTAAACTAAGTAGAGGAAGTGAACTCGCCACGCTAAGAACCCCTGGGCGCAATACTACGTCGGTATCGAACTTTTGGCAACTCGTAACTATCGACCAGTCGAATCTATTCTGGTTTGGGTGGCGTCCAATGGGACAACCAGGGGATATGCAAGACCGTGATGAGGTCCCAAGCGCGAACCTATCCAAACTGTCATTCGTACCGATATATCATATGGAATTGCTAACAGTCCGACTACTACCGATAACCCAAACGCCACCGACTTTTTGTTTGGCAACAGTCCTGAATCCTCCATGGAGTCTGATTATTGCCGTACCTATACTACCGGTTTATGAGAATATTTCAAATATTCCTCACCATTGTCACGGATCGAACAAGGGTTGGGTATTTGGTTCCAGAGACAAAAATGAACGGCTTCTTATATCTAATGTCAGGCTTTTAAAAGCTTATTTCGAACGTACGAAAAGCACCGGATGCTTACGATCCTTAACAAAGCCTCGTTGTCGTGCTCGGCCACCTGCTGTCCCTCGTGAATTCTAGTTTCCACGTAAGAAGACGGTTTCCCGATAACGAGCTGTGGTTTTGAAGACGCCCTCGTCCTTCTGTTACAGGCTGCTGCTTCGTTACCTTCTTCACGAGGAAAGCTGCCCTCGCTGCACAGAATGCTCTTCACAATATCAAGAAGCTCAATGGGGTGAGTAATATTACAATATCGTAGGCACGCACTCTTCGAAAGAGTGACGGGTTCGAATAGTTTCGGTATCGATAACATTTATTAAGAGTAATAATCATTACGTAATCAGTGACGTCACTGACCTAAAATTTACATGGTACGATGCCAAAAAAATTCGTACAGTATAGTTATGTATCATTAATTGTATCTAGACCGCGACGGATAATTAAAAATTATTTGAATAATTAAAATAATTAGGAGTAATTAACTGTAGCTTTAATAATTAAATAGAAATTGTTCCCTCCGTGTTACCATACATATCGATCCTGCGGTCACGTCCGTCCATGCGGTTCTTGGATTCAATCGAAGTCTATCTCTATTCAAGCCTCTGCCCTGTCGATACCTATAGATATACCACTGGCACAGAAGTGACACGTCAGTCGAGGAAATCCGCGACCTAATCCATCGAGTGCTCGCACAAAGCTATAGGAGTTTGCCGCGGCCACCGCCTGACGCCGCCACTGCCTTCGTGCTTAAGCTTCGGATATTTATTGTCATACAAATTACTCCCAACAGACTACGGGAGACTGTACGCGAAATACCAGCACGAAGCGTGAGACGAATGACATGGCTTTACCGGGCTACCCACCCCCAAGAGAGAAGCAGTCGACCCAAGTAACTTGCCGCGATTACCTTTACAATTAGAGGCTATGATTTATCACGGCAGTGATGGTATACAGGGGATGGAAGTAGGAAAGATCGCCGCCATTTTCTTGTTTATATCAGCTCTACTCACCGCGCGGACTATAATGCGGGTAGAAAGACGCGCATTCGCGGTTTCGCAAGAGTCCTCGAAGAAAAGTACTTGAAAGATAACCACTTGGAAAGAACGTATCCTCTCGTGGTCCGCGTTCCATGCCTGGGTTAGGGTTGTACGGGTTAAGACACCCCTCGCTGTTAAAAAAAAAAAGGTGAATTACAGGACGACGTTTTTCCAATGAAAGGGTTCAGCGAGTGCATATATGGGTTGGTGAAAGGAGCCAGAAGGGCGGGACGGTGTAAGAAAGTTCTGCGGTCGTGGGGTTCGGCGGGGAGAAGTGGCAAGGGGGAGGGTTAAACCCGAGGGTCGGGGGCTGCGCATTTGAAGGAGTTTAGCTTTTCTCGTATCAGATTTCGTTTCGACGAGTGGCACCGAGTCGAGAGGGCTGTGTTGGTTTGGAGAAATGAGTCGAGTGCGCCTGGGAGCCTTGGAGCAGATTTATCGCGCTAGAGTGCTACCGAGATTTCGTGCTTTCTCTTCTGTTTCTATTTTTTTGGTGGGAGGGGGCAGGCGGTGGGGAAACGGAGAATTTCTCTCCCTTCGTAAACTTCCATTACTATAGTGCCAACTTTACTTATTCCCTTACCCCCTCGTATGTATATTGTATATAGATATGCGAATCGGTCAGCGATACCGTCCAGTCAGGTACACGAGCTACACGTGGAAGACGAAAGTTTCATTCCGTTTTGACACTGTGAGGTCCATTGTCCGAAGAGATGCTGTAGGGGACGAAGCAACCATAACCCCCAACTCCAAAAGTCTTGAACTCAGCTGGCCTTGGTACGAAGCACCAAAACCCTTGCTCCTTCTCTTTCAATGCAACCATCCGCATATCCCGGGATTCACTGTTAATAATTTGGTTCGGTTAGGGATACTTCCTTCCGGTGCGAAATAGTTGAACGATGTTTCGCCGCGATAGAGTCTGTTCGACCTCGGTATTGGTGGAGTAGAGCTGCGCGACTACGTCTAGGTCTTTCGCGAGGAATAAGGAAGCGACGTGCGGCATGGCTGGCTCGCCGCCATGAAATTGTTGGAGAAACCGTAGTGAATTCGCAACAGCATGCCAGAGCCAGCAACAATGCATAATATCGTTAGAGCACTGCTCGGACGAAAGGTATTCGAGTGCCGTACGAATTTTGCAAAATGAAAAATAAAACGATAGTTTGGCTAATGCCCGAGTAGTGTGTATAGACGTGCATATACATATATATATGCCTGGGCAAGCCGAGGCTATGCATACGGCATATACCTATATATGTATACCTATATATGAGAGAGTTAGACAGGGAGGAAATAGGGGAAAGGGGTGAGAGCGTCAGCGGGAAAACATAAAATATTCAGGATAACACAGGCTTCAGTTGGACGAAGGTACTAACGGTCAATATCCATGGATTGTTGGTAAATTTCAGAATGGCTTTCATAGGAAAAACAAATTTTAATAAACCACCTCACTTTACTACACAATTTCTACATACGTCAGTGGAAGTCCAACTGATGCGTGCACGAGTTCTGTATTATGCGATTAACCAGATCGAATATCCGTACGCTTTTGGCATTCATAGCTTCTGCTTCATTGCTCTCGACAAAAATCACTAGGCCAATATTTTCGTTTGAATTTCATCGCACGATTTGTAAATCGGAAGTACTGTAAGGACGTGACGTCGCTTGGAACAGCTAACGCAAAGATTATTCAGAACTTAGAAAGTATATATGTCACTAAGCAGTATATGTGAATTTGACAATATAAAATTTCCCGCGGGGTTTACGGGGTGGCGCTGCTAGCACGAAGCGATTATTTCTTTAAATAATATGTAGATCGACCCGACTTCTAAAATCTGTACCACCGCTCGTCCAGTGTTTACGAACGTGCCTACGAGAAATACGCTATTGTGCCGCTTGGAGCTAGGAAATATTCGTGACGCGATGTTGCCTAGGGTCGGTGTCTCGTAGTTTTCCGCGCGAGGTTCTTCACTGACAGCCTTCAAGGATGAGAGAGCAAGATTTCCAAGGTGGCAGGGGGGACTGAAAAATAAAGGAGAAAAGTGTGGGGATGAACACGTTGAGGGTGGGAAGCAGCATTACTATGGAGCATAGAAGTGTAAAAGTAGTGGATGGATAGGCGTAACCAGAGGGTCCAAGAGCCGCTGGCGCTGGTCGCAGAAGGAGTTTTGGATCCGAAGTGGAACCAAGAGGCACGACGAGGTCGTCGACCCACGGATGCATTATTAATGCTAAGGATTAAGGAGAAATATGCATGCAGTTTGTCTTGAGCGAGCGCGATTTTCCCTTCCTCGTTCCTCACGATATCGCAGGGCGACCAAGAGCCCCCCCCCCCCATCCACGCCCTTCTCCCCTTTCCTTCGTCTCTTTCACCTTGCTCTCTGTACACACGAGCTTCTTTGTGATATCTTCTCGCCCCGTAGACGATCCCGTATCAATACTCACCGCCTACGCGCGAAGGACGTATCAATCAACGTAATAGAAAGAACACAGCAAAGTTGAGAAAACGCGCTTCCTTCCATCTCGTTCCATTTCGTTCCATCTCGTTCCATCTTGCGCCATCTCACCCCATCTCAACCCCATCTCATCTCCGACTCTCGTCTCTTTCCAGAAGCACCGTTCTTATTCGATATTTGCTTAACCGTATAAACAGAGGAGCCTTCACATCAATGATTCCCTCTCCGGCCTCCCCTCGTCCTTCCACCTTTTGCTAAGGACGAAGTGCCTCCGTCAGCCGGATACGATATCTCGAATTCGTTTTTCTCCTTCCGGCCGATTCCATTCTCACGACTTTCACCTTTCACGCTGGTATGCCTCTTTATGTATATCCATATCTTTCTTTGATTCTCTTTCGATTCCCTTTTTCTTGTTTTTTTTTTTTTTTTATTTCCTAATCCGTCATTCGACATTCTTCGCGACGAAATTGTATACGCTAAACGGCATCGCTATGGTGAGATATATATTTGTTTTTAACAAATTTACGTAAGATTATTTACGTATGCTTCATAGGGAATCATCGTTGTCCCGGCAGGTGGACTCAATTTATTTTCTCCGTGCTGGATGTAGCATTCCATTTGATATCCTTTGATAAATCCTCCCTCGTGACTACGTCGCACTTGTACCCGGTGGCAATGGTATCCGTATCCGTGACATCGTAATTGAGTTGCCAGGGCTTATGATTGGCTCCTGAAGAAACAGGCGACATCGCGGACCCTCGGTGAGATCGCTTCGAGCACCTTCGGTAATGCCACTCTTTATTTATCAAGAGACGCAGCAGTTCTCCGAAAGATACGGTCTATCGTTTTCCTAGGATCTTTCCGTATTTCTTTTTTTTTTTTTTTTTTTTTTTTTTTTTTTTTTTTTTTTTTTTTTTTTTTTTTTCTTCCTTGTAACATGAATATTTTTACGTATTTATACGAGTTTCGTTCTTTCCACTACTCCGCGATATATCCAGTTTCACGTGGGGGATGCAGCAGTGGGGTAATAATAACCGCAAGAGACATTGCCTCGTTAATTTCGTTCTCGTAGGACGTAGCCAGAGTGTATTGAGGGTAGAGGAAAAAAGAAAAAGGAAATTACATCGTTTCCGGACTGCCTGGTTTGTTGCCCGGTTAGTTCATTGCAAGCGGCGGGTACGTTGACTGTGCGAAAGGCACTAGAAAGAGGGCAACCGATACAATGAACGGAGCTTAAAATATCATACCTCAGAATATAATAGCTATTCTCTCGGCAAACACAAAGATTCGTTATAATGGAAATAAAATTACCATGAACGCATTATATGCCTACGGTTCCAGTCGGTGGAGGGAGTCGAACGTATTTCATAGAATAGACTATATTCAGTGAGAATTTTTGAAAAAATTTTATAATATTCATTTTTTTTTCATTAAAAGTATTCAGTTCAATTTCCTCCATGTTCACGTATAATGTTTCCGGTCTGAGTATCGTTTATCATACCGGATTATATATCGACAGTTTTCTTACATGTTACGGTCATTGCGTATGCGTAGTACTCGGTAGTACATTACGTAGCTAATCTTTAAGGGTTTGATTTAGTGAAATATTATTAAAATTTAAATTTGATCATCCCTTACTTTTTCTAGATTAAATTAAATTAAACCTATGATTTAACTTATCGGTACACAGAATTACTAGTGACGAATAGAAATTTGACTCGAAGTCACGCGACATGTTGATTTTT